ATGACCTCAGGAGGCCCCATTGTCCATGTCTCAGCCCAGAGACCCCCACCCATGTGTCTTTCCCCACCCCCACTCTTCCCAAATCTTTCTCCTAAGCTGTATTAGTCAGCATACTCTAAAGAGAACTAATAAAAAAAAAGAACAGAACTGAACTGATAGAACGAATTAATTCATTAATATACTCATATCATTCATTCAATAAATCCCATATAAGCCAGGCGTTGGTGGTGAACGCCTTTAATACTGGCACTCACTCGGGAGGCAGAGGCAGGCAGATCTCTGTGAGTTCAAGGCCAGCCTGGTCTGAAGAGCAAGTTCCAGGACAGGCTCCAAAGCAATGCAAAGAAACACTGTCTCAAAAAAAAACAAAAATAAATAAATAAAATAAAAAATAAATCCCATATATACATATACATAAGTACACGAACGCGAGCACACACACACACACACACACACACACACACACACACACACACGTGCGCACATGCGCACACATGAGTGCACGCTTTATTAGAGTGGTTTACAGTAAGCTGTGGTCCAGATAGTCTAACAATGGCTGTCCATGAGACTGGATGTCTCCACAGACCCAATCTGATGTTGGAGTCCTAGAGGATTCCTAGAGAGCTGCTGGATTTCAGTCTATATTGGAATCCCAAAGAAGTAAGTTCTAATAGCAGCTAAGAAATGCCTCAGCAACAGGATAGATGAAGTTGCCAGCAAGAGTTAAAGGCAAGCAGGTCAAAAGCAAAAGCTTCCTTCTTCCATGTCCTTTTATGTGTCCAGATTTAGGGTGGGTCTTCCCATCTTAAATGGTCCAATCAGTAAAATCCCTGATGGTGATTCCTAGCTGCTTGGGTTTAAGTTGATTCCAGATGTAGTCAAGCTGACAACCAAGATCAGCCATCATACAAGCTTCTACCCTAGCCCATGTTATAACCAGCCACCAACTGGGCATATTAGACCTCTGGCCAGGCTGGATTACATCCATCATCTCTCCCCCTCTTCATGTTCCTGCCCCATTCTCACCCCAGCCACCCAATGCAGACAGAATGATGGGGCAAAGAAAGTATAAGATATGAGGAACGTTGGGGTAAGAAGAGCTCCCCCACCCAGTGCCGCCTGTGAACGGTTTTCTTCTGCTCTGGTTTCTACCCTATGCACTAGATCTGCCTCCCCAGCTCCGTCTCTGAGAGACTCAGGATGGCATCACAGCAAGGAGAGAGTGCATCATGGCACACACGGGGTGTTGGGGATGAGGCTGGGTACATGTTGAGTGCAGCCTGCAGATCCACAGATCTCACCCCATCTCCAGTGGGTCTTGGTACAATGCACTTAACCGCAGTATCATCTTTCTGTCTAGTGAAAGGGGGATGGTAAAAGGTTGTTGTAAGGATTAGAAATAATGTTTCACTAAAAGAGACTGTTCCCAGGTGCATGGGGAACAGCTTGGTAAGGGCAGGTGTGTGTGCTGGGCATCCTTTGAGTTTCCCTTACAGATGCTGGGTACCTGGAGATGCTCATTTAGAGGCAAACTAGAGATGTCCCTCCGTGACCCCTCTTTGGCAAGCTAGAATAATTTGCTCTCTAGGGAGGGGTCCTCCCTTATTCAAAGGCTGGTATGGTTCTCCCAGGCTCTACCTGGGACAATGGCTGCCACCTCTGAAGCAGCATCCTGCTTCCAATCTCCTAGAGGGCTATCTTCTGAGGAGGAGGGGCAAGCAAGGTCCCAATTGCAATGCAGGGGCAGGGCAGGGCCCCAGCTACCTACCAACGCATTGTTTTAAAACTCCTCTCCCATCATGCTTTTTAAAAAATGATGATCCAGCTGTGGGTATACTCCATTAGCAAGGAGTCAGAAGAGCCTTGGCCTTCAGACTGTGAGAGCTGGAAATCTAGCCAACCCTAGCCAGAGGGCGTGGGGACATCTGAGGCAAGGAAGTCCAGACTAGGCCCTGCAGAGCTAGGAGCTGGAAGTCCCTGGCAGATCAGGTAGGTGGGCTCCTATGGGTCTTTTGAGTCAGGGAGCAACACCCCGGAGACACTCAATCAATCGGGCTGAACCAAGATACAATTTCTAGGTTCTCCCAAAGATGTAATTTCCAGAAGGGGTGGTCTGAGGGGCCTAACTGGATTTGGTCCCCAAATTGGATTTGGATTGGGATTAAGGACAGGAGCAGAAATAGGCCATGCAGCACTTTAGCAAGGGGGCTAGAACATAGAAATGACAAAATCTTGAACACGGGTGCAGCTTTTGCTGCAAGTGGGCCTGCTTGGTCAGCTCAACTACTCAGAGCCCAGCACAGCTCAGTGTTCTAGGCCAAAGTCAACCCCTTGAGCCCACATAAACCTCTGAGCTAGTTCTCAGCACCCAAACTGATGCACACAGTTGACCACTAAAAGGTGGGTGTCTTTGTGACAGGAGGATAACAGGCTAAATCCACTCTCAATCCCACTGAGGCCATAGGCTCCAAAGCAGGGTGCTGGCTTCCTATTGAAGGACCCATGATCTGTGTATCTCAGTATTTGTCAGTAGTGTTCTGCCTTCATTTTCAGGCACGGAGAGGTTACATACTTTTCCAAGTTGTAGTGGGTGCAGGCACTACTTGCTTGAGTTCCTCTTAGATATCTTTGTGAGAAAACTTCTTGATCCTTTCATTCTGGAACTGAAGACAGAGCAGGATATACTACAGAGGAGACTGAGCCGCCAAGGGTGACTCACTCCCTCAGTCTGACCAGGTAGGTGGGCTAGGAGTGCACAGCAGGGGAAGTAGCAGTCAGCTGAGCTCGGGTGTGGTCCTGAATGTATTGGCCCTGGAGGGGCAGAAGAGAGCTCACTGTGGTCCCTGAATGCTTTGATAGCCACAGCTAACGGAACAGGAGTAGAGTACCCTAGGTCATCCAGTAATGTCATCAGGCCATTAAAGTATGAACTGGAGGAAAGGGGAGAGAGTATGGCTCTCACAGCCTTCAAGCTGCTTCTACAGATCCACCCCCACCCTGGGGCATCTACCTTGACATCTTCCAGACTAGCCCACAGCTCAAAGGTCAGGGAGGGTTGCCAACCGCATAAACACCCCCCACTCTGCTGCTGCTGGCTTCTTTCGGCACAAAAGCGACTGTCCTGGTGGCCTCAGGTGGACTTGCCAAGCTTTGGGAATTCTGTTCATTGTCCCCAATGCCTCTTGTCTCCATTGTCACAACACAATTTATCCTGCAAAAGGTCACTTGAGTATTTTTGTTGCATATAAATCGTTGTCCATATCTTTAATTGTTTTCCTAGGATGGTTTTCTAGATGTGCCATTGTTCCCAGTGGGATGAAAGACCTGGTGTTCTTACCAACAGTCCATATTATAATTTTCAATAAGATGGTAAACTCGATACCAGCAAATGAGAGCCTATTTAATCTGCATTTTAAAACTTTTGCATGGAAGCCCAGCATGGTGGCTCATGTCTTTAATCCCAAGCACTTGGGAGTCTGGGATACAGGGATCCCTGTGAGATAGAGGTCAGTCTGTTCTGCTTACTGGGTTCCAGGCCAGGCATGGTTTGAAAGTTGCAAATGGAACCTTATGTCTTTGTTTTGGATGACTGCATAATGATTGTGAGTTTTTGTTGTTATTGTTTATTGTTTGTATTTTATTCCATGGAGTATTTACTTTCTAATATTGTCATGATAGAGGTCATGTCTTCTGAGTCGGCAACTCTGCTTTTCATACTTGTAGCAGGTATTTCTTTGGTTTTTTTCCAATGTCTGCAAAGGGTTCCTTTTTTTAAAAAAGCTATATAAAGACTTTAACTTTTATGTACTCAAAATCTATTTATATTTCCTTTATCATTTCTTGTTTGTTTTACTGTCTGTCTATTTTGTTTGTTTTTTCAAGGCAGGGTTTCTGGCTATCCTAGAACTCACTTTGGCTGGCCTGAACCTCACAGAGACCCCCCTGCCTCTGTCTCCCAAGTACTAGGATTAAAGGTGTGCACCACCGCCTCCCAGCTCTTTTATTATTCCTGCCTTTGATGTGGTGCTTAAAAAGTTTTTTTTCCCAAAACAAAACCATGTCTGTATTCTGTAAATTCTTATATTTTGATTTTTAAAGACTTGACTCTTAAATTGATCCAAATTTGATTACATGTGCCTTTGCAAACAGCTACAAATTCTCTTTGAATTGAGAATAATTACTTTACTCATTAACGTGGCAGAACTGAGAGAGAGAGAGAGAGAGCGAGAGCGAGAGAGAGAGAGAGAGAGAGAGAGAGAGAGAGAGAGAGAGAGAGAGAGGGACTGGGATCATCTGGAAGGGAGGTGAACACTGGATGAGTGGATGAGTGAATTAAGGTGGCAGAGAAGGGATGACTGTTGACTGAAGGTATTTGGGGAAGCTGCTTTGACCTTCAGGTGAGACGGTTTCTGAGGCTAGAGGAGGGGGGAGGAAGTGACAAACCAGTTTTGCAAAGGCAGGATGCAGGGGGGAATCAGTGGAGAAGATTCTAGGGCAGGTGCTCAAATCCCTCATGGTGTGGTGCAGGGAAAAGCAAGGAGGACCAGAAGAGAGGTCATCAGCTAGGAGAAAAGAGAGTGGGAGGAGCCTAGGCCTCATGGAGACTAATTACAAGTTTCTGGGCTGGAAGAACTGTGGTCTACATGTCATTGGCTGCAACGGCATGTAGAAGAATATTGTATTTCCCTCGGGAGGTATCTAAAGGACTTGGGGCACCATGAAAGGTCTGATACAGTAGCAACTGGGAAGTGAGTCTGTCTCCACTGGAGAGGAGCAGAGTCAAGGAGAGTTAAACAAAGCTCATGTGTAGAGCATGTTCTCAAGGCCTTTTCACACATAGACTTACATGCTTGCCCAGAGTCAGGCAGGAAGCCCATGACTGTCTATCAATGCCAGCACCATCGTTATGCACTAGGGACAGGGACTTAGAACTTTACCCAACAGTCTCCTCTTCTTCGACTCTGCAGGATCCTAGTGTGGCCCTACCTCTGTCGCTGACCATGAATGGGATGGCCAACGTGAATTCTGCCAGCCGCCCACACTATGCCTCCTCCATCCCCGTGCCTCGAGCTTCCTCACAGACCAGGATTCACACCCCGGGTGCTTCTCCTCAGCTTCGGCCTCGTCAGGCTGACTTGGCCCTGAGCCCTCAGCGAGCTGCCTCCCCGAGAAGGGGCAAGGCAGCAGTTTCTTCCAGAAACTCCTCCCCCAAGGCCTATAGAGGAAGAGGCACCCCCAGGGCCTCAGGGCCAGCCAGGGAGTTGTCTGAGAATGTAGAAAGCCTCCCTAGCTCCCCCTGGAGCAGCCCCAGGGTAACCCCCAAAAGATCCCTCTCCAGTCAGACAGGATCCAGAAGAGCTGGGGAGACACAAAGCACCCAGAGGAAGAAGAACCAGGAAGGAATCTCAGTTCGCCAGACCAGGGGAAGGAGCCCACCCCAGACAAGCTGTCATGGAGAAACTCAAATTCCAGGGCCTTCTGAAGGTCGAATGCTTCCTAGCTGCCAGGAAAAAGATCAAAGAGACAAAAATTACAAACCCCCTAGGTCTCTGGAGCCTGATGAAGGAGCAGCTTCAGGGACTTCGTGTCCAGTCTACAGTCCCATGCAGAGCAAGAAGCCCTCTCCTACTCCAGGGGCCATTAGCTTTTCCTCTGCCCATCAGCAGAGCCAGCCAATCACAGCCACGGTGGCCCCTTTTCAGTACAGGTGAGTTGGGGAGTGGGCGGGGCAGATAGAGAAAGAGGGGCAATGGCGTTGAGACCAAGGGGCAAACTCACTGAGAACAGAGACTTTGGTGACAAATGGCTGGTGGACACTATGGGAGATGGCTAGAAACTTGGGAGTGTGAGACAGGACTATATAATCTTAAATTCTCTGTTTTTTCTCAACCCTGTTTTTTCTCAACTCTTGACAACAGAGACTCATGAGGGTGTCCCTAAAGTGGCCATTTCACACTCTCTTGATGAAACTATGTTAGGGTATTAAAGATGCTTAAAGCACCTAGCACACAGGCAGGAGGGTCCGAGGGTGCTTTAGACTTGCCAATTTTGTGTAGGCCATTTGCCACGACTGTGCATTAGACAAACTCTGCTGTCTTGAGCACCGAGTCTTCAGTAGCTTGAGCAAACCCTCTGTGCTTCTCCGTGTTGTTCTCATAGCATTTTTGTGTCTGTCTGTCCATCTCTCCTTCTCTCGATTGCTTGTTTGCACCACTTGTCACACAGCCTTATGCCTGTTTATGTGCATAGTGTATTGGCAGTCAGTAATACTTCTTAAATGGCTAGGTGGGTGCTGTTGTCATTGGCAATGCATTCACAGCCGTGTGGTCATGCCAGCCTCTCTAGCTTTCAGACACAGCAAGTTTAGTGCGTAGAATAACATTTAGCCAGCTAGGCTTTTCAAGTAAAAAAATAACTCTTTACTAACATGACCACATCAAGTAAACTAAATTTTAATTACTAATCATTATGTAGGTTAGAAAAGCCTGAATGCAAATTAAACCTCTTCCTGGCTATACTCACTTCCTGAGTTTCTCCCACTCTCATGCTAATATAGGAAGTAGCTGTCAATTTGCATTTTGGGGTATATGAAAGCTTGGACATCAGGCCCTGGGTAGTGGGGACCTCTGAGACATCAGAGCAGCTGAAGGCCAGGGCCCTCAGAGTATCATCCTTCACTAGCAGCCAACTCACGTGTGTATAGATATCTAAACAATAGTGTGCAGCCTTATATCACAGTAATAGGTGTTGGGGTCTGGGACAAGGAAATTCATACCCATTATATTCTGCATGTGGCCGGCCTCATTTGTAGCCCTACATTCAGTTATGAGCACCTCATTTTAAAAGGACATTGGGCACACCAAAATGCATTTAGAAAGGACTGGCAGGCTAGTCAGGAGTCCCACAAAGGTGTTTCCGGAATGGTTAGAGGGAGTGAAGAAGCTAGCTTGCTCTGAAAAGAGAAGGTTCAGGATGGTCTGCGAGCTGTTCTCTGTTCTCAAATATGGGAAAGGCTGTCACGTTGTAAGATGAATTAGTTTGCTTGGGGCAGCTCCAAAGAGCTGACTCAGTGTCATGGTGGCGAGGAGTTAGCGCAAGACAGATTTGAGGCAGGATAGGAAGAAGTTTCTGACAGCAAGGAAGGCTGACAAACTGACTGTAGTCAGGGAATTGTATTCCTGCAGGATCCCGGCAGATTCCACAGCCCCGGAGTTCTCAGCCAGGTGAGCCCTTTTGCCCGACTGTTCCTAAAAATGTACAGATGTCCCTCTTCCTAAGGGGTGGGTCACATCTGTCCCTTTTCCTTCTCTACTTAGATTCTGAAGCTAAAGCTGAACCAAGCATAGACACAGGGAGGGTGCTCCTTTTTTTGTTTCTCATTTGCTGGGAGTTGAACCCACAGCCACCTGTATGCTAGGCAAGAACTCTGCTACTGAGCCATACTCCAGCCCCAGCCTTCTTTTGAGTGGCCTTTTCCCTAACAGCTAAATGCCTCCCTGGTGACTATGACTTGCTTTTCCTATCTGACTCCCTTCATTTTGAATTCATTCTTTGGGGAAAGGTGTCAAGGTATTAAATAGTCTCAGATTTTATATTATCTACACTACAAGTCCCTTGGTATATTTACAGTCTGGCATTTTTCAAAGAGGTCAGAATATTTCCCTCTGAACATTTTAACGTAACTTAAACAGAGCAGTGTTTCCAGCACTCAGCAAACATTGACTGCATGTTTGCATTTTAAACAGACATGGAATTGTTGCACCTCTCCGGGAAGCGGTGTCCTTACCACCCACCCTTATACCTTGCACTTCCCAGGCCCTCAGTTGTGGTTGGAGGATGGGTCACAGGACAAGTAAGATTTGGATGGAGGATACCGCGGCATGCTGTAGGCAGATGGGCTGGATCTCCACACACCCTGCACAGCCCAGAGCTGCTGCCATGGACAAGCTCTGCCAAGAGCTTGGCTAGGCCACTCATCTAAGCTCTATAGCCAAGGAGGTGCCATCTGTTCCCTAGAATCCACAGACATCCTGTTTTCGTGGAAATCTATCCTCCACCCCCAACACCTTGGGCTTCTGTAAAAACTCAGGTGTATTCAGAAATAGAGGTTAATGGGTTAGCCTGGTCCAGGAAACAAATCCATTTCCCATCTTTCACCTTGTCCCAGCCTTCCAGTCATATCATTTCAAAACCCTGAGTGTGGTCATCCCAGTGACACTCATCTGCCTGCCACCTCCCACCTCCTCTTGATGCCCTTCCTTCTTGAGCCCCAGAAGGCAGACTGTCCCTCTGGCCCTCTTCCAGTTTCTGGTCTCACACATCCAATTCCATCACAGCTTCCTCCTTACTCTATAAAAGGGCCACCACACCGGCATCATCATCGTACATCTCCCCACTACCACGCACTGTCTTTCCCTAATAGTGCACACCTTTCAATCCTCAGGCAAGTCTTGGGTCAGACTTTAGTTAAGAAGGTACGGTTGGTTAAAGGTGTCAGGAATGTAGGGTCAGTGAGGTCACCGTTGTGGTTTTCCTCTTCTCTGGCTCAGCCTCCCCTTCTGGTCTATGTTGTCCTGTCCTTTCAGGCTGAAAAGTGAGACAAGCCCTGGCATATATAGGAAAGGGAAGGCAGTTATAGACACATGTGCAGAGCCAAGTAAGAGCAGAGAGGCAAAAGCTACCTTCCTTCATGCTCCTGGGTTTGGGGTTCCTGATACATGCAGGTAATTCATTCTTACCTGCCCTTGTAACACAGCAATGGCAGTAGACTCGTGGCAGTATACCAGTGTTGTTTCAGGGCTGGTTAGCACCTATCTTCTCCCAGACAGACACTGCTTAGCTCTTTATATATGATGCTATCCAATGAAACTTTTACTTCATTATATAGCATTCCCTCACCTCAGTAGAATGTTGTATTATTTTCATAACAATATGTTGCATGTCCATACTAATTTTTTCCAAGTAAACAACTGTCTCATTTCCCCCTGTCCCTTTGACTTATACATTTGAGTAAGATGAGTGTCCCCAATATATCAAGCACCTCCCAGGGGCCAGCAGCACGAGATGTGCTTTCTCAGTTTCTCCACCCTGCCTTGTGCCCAGCACCCATCTGAGGGCTGGCAGGCACACAACACCTCAATGCTGCCAAGCTGTCTTAGAGAGAGTCAGCAACCCTTAATGCAAATCCACTATGCAACTTCAGCCTGGCCCTTCAGAGGTCATCTCTCCTGGTCCTGATGAAAACCAGGCCCAGAGAGGGGAAGGTGTTTGCTTGGGTTGCACAGTGAGCTCATGAAGGCGCTGGATTCAGAGTCTCAGACATAGAGGTATTGGAAAAAGTGAAAACCTAAAAGACAAATTGCAGCAGCACTAGAGACTCCCAGGGTCCCCTGGCCCAGCCTGTCAATTTCCCTTCTTGTCTGCATAGCCCTCCCCCCTCCTGCCAAGCTGCCAAAGGGTCCATTTAGCTGGCGACATTGGGCGGGGATATGGGGGTAGGCGGGACTGCTCTGAGCCCAGGGTAATTGCATGTAAGGAGAGCTCCCACAGCCTTTGTTCCTGGAGCAATTGTACGGATGGGGCTGTGTTCTGAGGTCTGTGCACTTGGTAGCCAGTGCCCAGAGACCTCACCCTTCCTTCCTGTTGGCACCATGGACTTGTCCTCTCAGGAGTCATTGTGGCTCAGGCTGAGTCTACCCCTCCTTTCCTGACCTAGTGTGCTTGAGGTGAGCAATTCCACAGAGGCCAAATGCCCTCTGAGTGCCAGGAGTCAGTGGCTTCAACGTCAGAGACAGCCTTCCCTGCGGGTATGCTCTCTGCTGAGCAAACATGAGCATTCTAAGGGCAAGAATCACAGCGGGGCAGAGGAACCCAGGCCTGAGTTCTTTCTGCTCTTTGAATGATGTTTGCTGCTGGGCAGCAAAGGGCAACAGATGTTGAACATTCCAGTGCCCTTGGGGACTCCTTCCTGGCCCAGCCCTGTGGCTTGCTGGAGTGTCTGCATGTACACATGTCCCCAGGAGGGGCTGGCCCAGAGAACTCAGGGCATGGTAGAGGAGAGGACCCAAGCTCAAAAGGGGTTTGCCTAGCCTAGAGAGGGGCTTTGAAGCCATGAGTTACCTTTCCTTCTTGGCCCCACAGGTTGCAGACAGACCAGGAGCCTGGCCCCGGTCCTCAGGAAAACTGGGCCCTTGATGGATACACCAGCCTCCCTGGCAGGACTGAGGACAGCTTTTCCTGCATGGGTAAGTACCCTGGGGAAGACTTCCTACACAGCAGCCGTTGTCTGGCCTCTCCTTATCTCCAAGGGATAGAAGTGGCCTGGGCCTAGGAACAGGTTTCTTTTCCATTGTTTTGTGACAGGACCTCACCAAGGAGTCCAAGCTAGCCTCAAACCTGTCATTCTCCAGTGCTGGGATTATAGCTGGTGCCACCACATCCATCTTGGGTCTATTTCTTAAAAAAAAAAAAAAAAAGTTCTTTTTTTTTTTTTTTTGAGGCAGGGTCCTACTATGTAGCCCTGGCTGGACTGGTACTTGCTATGTAGACCAGGCTAGCCACCAAGCCAGCCTTAAATTTTTCAAAAATTAAGTGTGTGTGTGTGTGTGTGTGTGTAGGTGTCAGAGCACATGTGGAGGTCAGAGGACAACTTGTGAGACTTGGTTCTCTCCTTCCATCATATGGATTCCAGGATTGACCTCAGGTCATCAGTCTTGATAACAAGTACCTTTACCTGCTGAGCCATCTCCCAGGTCCTCAGGTCTGTCCCTTGACAACAAGATAGTAACCTGTGAACTGCCCTGACAATTTCTTCCATGCTTGACTCACCTCAGGGTAAAGCTGTCAAGTCCAAGAGCACTTCAGGGTCAGGCTAGGAAGCTGGCCACATGGCATGGGTCAATGCCATGTTTATCTAGAGCTCAGGTTGTGTGGATCTCTGTGTATGTCACTGGAAGACCACAAGAGAAAGGTGACAGACTGGGAGAGTGACAGTCAGGTTGCGGTGAAGCCCAAGTTCAACATGAAGGTGCTGGGACCTGGATGGCAGTCCATAGCTACCTGCCTGACACCTGCCTCCTTCTCTTAATAACAAGTCCCTCCCATACATGTCCCCTTCCCGGTGTCACCCTGTAAACAAGTGTCACCCAGAGCACATATACCGCTAAGAAACCCAAAGACTGACTGAGAAGACCCTTGAACTGAAATTAAGTAATTTGCCTCTTCCAAGTGTCCTTGGATGAGTGCATGATGAACAAATAACCAAGTACCTTGTGACCCACCAGCTAGGACTTAAGAAAGTCAGATTCTAAAATCCCCCATAGCATTTAGGTTTGTGCATTGATTGATTTCCTGGCAACATTAAAAAATAAAAATAAACTGTAGAATTCAGCAACGTGTGCGTACCAAACGACACGTGACAGCACATGCAGGAAACACGCTCTAGCTGTCAGTTTCCTAGGCCAAGGGAAATTTGCTCTTGCAAAACAATAAACTTGATTTTGTTTGTGGTGCTGAGGATTAAACCCAGGGGTCTGTGTACGCCAGACATGCTATGTCACTGACTTTTGCTTTTAGAAGACCCAGAAGGTTGGTCTTATAGCTTCATCTCTGTGCTCTGCTCCAGTGAGCAAAATGTGAGGTTAGCTCACAGCCTAGCCTTGACATCATTTGGCAGTGGTACCATACCACTGTATCTTCTCTCTTCCCTGCTGGGCAGGTGGGAAGGTGAACTAGCCCTTTGGAGCTCTCTCTAGAGAGCTCAACCACAGTAATCTTGGAGTGACTGCATAACCACAACACTTCCTACAGTGGGCTTTGCAGAGGACAGTCCTGGGGCAGGGCCTGGGCATTTAAAGGGTAACCATCTCCTCCCACAATAAGTACACATGCAGTGGGAGCAGGGCATGGCAGGGGACAAAAGTAAACTGAATTTCACAGGCACTGACAAAGCATCAGAATAGAATGCGGTAACCAGGAAACTATGTGCAGCTCTATTTTTACATTTGCAGTTTTGTTAGCGTAATGGCTTCCTTATGTGTGTACCACATTGTTAGGCTAATGATCTCCATCCACCTAGCCAGGCACTCCTTGCTAATTATGACCCCATGAGCTGGGAAGAGGACTTTCTTTTCATGTCTGCTGCAGGCTGACCCTAGGAAGCCCTTTGACTTATTAGCTTGGAGACCGCCCTCACCAGTAAGATCTGAAAATTCTCTAGGTCCCAGGTTAGGTGATCGGTGTGTGGGTAAGCCAAAGCCTTAAACCCTAGAGGTGGGTTTCACACAGAACAATGGGAAGCACCAGCCTCCCCCAAGATACCTAGGGAAGGGGATCAAGGTTCATGGTGCTGCCTGTGTTGTGGTCCTCGCTGGTTGTCATGGCGACAGACACATCTTTGCTGAGGATCCTCTGAGCTCTTTGATGGATTAGATGGGGAGAGATTTAGGATATGTCTTCTTTGTGAGGGCCCCTACGCTTTATTGAGCTTGAAGAAGATGAAGAAGAGAGGAAGAAAGGAAACCACAGTTTACATTCTGTTTTGCCCTTTTACTTCTGAACTCTCTCCGGACATGTCGTGAGTCACTCACTTGTGTGTTCTACTCAGTCAGCAACTACCCAGTGAGCATTTGCTCTGTGCCAAGCAAACACTGCTGGTGCTGTAGAAGAGGAGGGGGCTATGGTCTGCTTTCAAGGAGCTCACAGTGTAGGGGTTCAATTTCCAAACTCGGCAAGAATATCTGTTGGTGTCCCTGAAGTCCTGCCCAGTGTCCTGCCCATACCTGTTGACAAAGCAGTTGACTGGCTATATCAGGCATGCATAAAACATGCTGCAGTAGGTCCCACATCATGTGGAGCAATGGGTTCATTGCCACCTCTCTCTCTCTCTCTCTCTCTCTCTCTCTCTCTCTCTCTCCCCCCCCCCCCCCCCCCCCCTTTCCCCCCCCCCCCCCCCGCCCCCGTGTGTGTGTCTTTTGAGACATGGTTTCTCTGTGTAGCCCTGGCTCTCCCAGAACTCATTATGTAGACCAGGCCAGCCTTGAACTCACAGAGATCTGCCTGTCTCTACTTCCTGAGTGTTGGGATTAAAGGCGTGAGCCGGCACCTCCAGTCTTGCTCCTAGATATTGATCATATTGTTTTAATACTGATATGTGGGAGAGAAGCAGCTTTAAGCTCAGATATCACCCCTGCCTGTTGGTGAATTCACTGTGTTTGATGAGCAAGGAATCCAGAATGAACAGTCTGTTGCCAGTGCCTCCCCTGTGAGCCAGGTTTCCTCTTTCAGCTGAGAAGAAGCCACCAGTCTTCCCCTGCTCTTCTCATAAGCATGGGGGAGGTGCAGGGTCCTAGAAGGGGTAGAGAAGGAGAATGCCAAAGAGTTCTCTCTGCCTGGAATAGAGTCCAAATGAGCATTTTATAATCCTCATATAGCAGGAAGAGTTTTTCCCATCATGTCTTGCCACCATGCTGGCGTGTTTGAGGATGGCCTTCATATGTGCCAAAGACTGTCCACAGCCAGCTGTTCCTTCTGCTTTTGCCCTGGGGGCAAAAGTCTAAGAGTCCAGTCCACAGGTGCTTATGTGTGTTTCCTGGCTATCCCAGGGTCCACCGGCTCTTCCAGGGACAGCTTGGCATTGGGCCCATCTGATCACACTCACCACTGGCTCTCTCTGCAAGGCCATCATCAGATCTTAATTTGAACAGGCAAGGAAACCAGGGCTGACTCTGCCACATGCCCACACATGTGAGTGAGGTAGTGTACAAGACTAGAAAGGGTCGCCTTGAGGTTTACATGGATTCCTTAATTACTTCCACTCTGTGGCATGTTTGAATGAGTGCTAAGCGGACACACACTAAAGGAATCTTCTCTCATAGAAACACGTGTCACTGGGGAGCCAGTCAGAGACTCCTCTCTGCCTCCTTCTCATATGAAGGTTGATAAACACATAGACCGGGAGGGGACTGTGCAGTTGGCCTCCTGCTGGGAGATTTTACTTGTTGTCTGTGTCTTTTCCCTTAGTGAGCAGACTCTGTCTTTAAGCCACAAGTTCATGTGTTGTGGATTGGGGTGCAGAGTGCTCATTCTAAGTGGTATATCCGATGTGACTTAGTCTAGGGCAAGAGTGAAGTATGAGCACTGTGCTCTCTGGGAAAGCATGAAGAGGTTGCTCTGAGCTCATCACTGCAGCACAGAGGCGAAAGCAAACATCAAAGAACATAGTGAGTAAAAGCTTCAGCAGACCTTATAGTTCCCTCGACCTTGACCTCATTTTCCCTGAGGAGGGATCAGCCTTTTTTGCTCATGATGGATGGTGAATCAGCAGATGGACTGAAATCAACACCATTGCCTCCCAATTCTCAAAATGCTAAGATAGCCAAATGATAGGTGACCACCACTTATTGAAGCCTACTGTGTGTAAGCACACACTAGGTATTTCTTATACAAAGTTCTTTGTGAACACAGTGTGGCTCTTCAACAGTGGTCTTACTCTTGCTAGAAAGGAAAAACCTCAGGCTCTGAGGAGCTAGCTCTGAAACCTGTCTAAAGACTGTCAGGATTTGAGCCCTGCTTGTCTGCAGGTCCTGCCTGTCCCCCCTCATTCCCTTCCCTTCCCATCTGCCATCAGGACTCACTGCGGTAACTGCACACGGTCCAAGCTCAGCCCAATTGCTGTAGACCCCTGCCAAGTGGCAGGGAAGAAAATGGGGTCATGGAACCACACACCTTGCTGCCATCTCCCTCAATCCTAGCAGGTCCCAGGATGTCACTGGCACCACTGGCACTCTAGACCTATGTCATTTCATGCTGAGTTCATACTGCTATATTCCCTGTCCTCTGGGGACTTCTGGGCCAAGATGAGCCTGATGTCCCAGCCATCCGTGGAGAGAGACATGCAGACAATTGACCAGAAAACAGAGCAAGCATAAAGTAGATGATATTCGTTGTCCTCCAGGGCTGTGTCCCCCAAAGGAGCAAAGGAGGCTGCAGTGTGGGTGGAGCTCAGAAGACCCTGTTTACATAAACACAACAGCCATCTGGGACCAAGCAGGCTTCCAGGAGTTGGGGTGGGAGGGTATAACACTTGTAGCAGCCGCTGACACTTATTGCGGCTTTCTGGAAACCAGGCATTGTTGTAAGCATATTTAATCCTTCCAACAACTGCAGCAGTGCCGGAGCCTCTCTGCTCCCACAGCATTGGAGAAGGTACTAAACCTCTCTGTTACCTTTTGCAGCTGGGCATGGT